TAAAAGATGAGCAGCAGCATTCTGAACCAGCTGAAGTCCAGTAATGACTGGTTCAGACCCACATAAAGTGGATTACAGTAGTCTAGTCTAGTTGTGATGAAAGCTTGGATTATAATCTCTAAATGATGGTTGGACCTTGGCCAGTTGCTCAGGTGATAAAAGCTGGACTTGACCACAGATTTAATCTGAGCATCCAGTTTAAAATCGTTGTCCAGCCTCACACCCAGGTTAGTTGCTGTCTCAGTCTGATGGTGTGTTCAAGGACCCTAACCCAGCACGACGCAGAGGTGGGACAAAGGAGCAGCCGTAGTGACGGCGCACACGACATTTAGTCAGTTGTTTGTTACGTCAGGTTATTTTAGACGTTAGCTCGTTGAAGTGTTGGGTTGAGAGGAGGAACCTGTGCTCAGGTGCACTGCTCCCCTCCCCCGCCTCCTGAAACTCCTGCCTGCTCATCTTAGACCCCTGGGATCGTTTTTATTCAGCGCCCTTAATAAAGCTGACGGTAAATCAATTTATTTGATCAGCTTTGGTGGAAATCATCAGTTATTTTTGCTTCCTGGAGCAGCTGCAGGACGTGTCTGAGCGTAAATTTAGCAGATTGGACCTGTAATGTCCAGACCTTCGTGGCTCAGAGGCCGAAGGCCGCTGCGTCAGCCGAAAGAGCGGCATGAAGGTATGTTCGTTCCTGATCGGCTCGGGTGTGCAGCGAGTGCACGCTCTCCTCTGATCGGAGGTCAGATTACGCTGCTTCCTGTCTGAGAGACCGAGTTTCAAGAGCACAAACAGAAACGATGTCAAAGAGCTGCAGAACTCACAGCCGGATATTTTACTGACACAAAAACAGGAAGTCAGCAGAGCAGCCCAGGAACTGAACCGACAACAAGAGGCCTGAACCAGTTCTACAACATGTCAGGTCCAGTTCAGACGGACAGAACCGAGGCAGCAGGAAGCGCTGCAGTCTGACAGCAGAGTGTCGGTACCAGACGGGCTGCATGGGTCGGTACCAGACGGGCTGCCTGGGTCGGTACCAGACGGGCTGCGTGGGTCGGTACCAGACGGGCTGCGTGGGTC